AAACTCCTTTCCAAAGAGGTTGAACTGGTTCACATCCCACCAACACTGTTCAAGTATCTCTTATCTTCACAACTTGCCAATGCCTGTTGTTTTTGACTTTTTAATATTGCTATCTTGATTGATGTGAGATGGTATCTCATGGCTTTTATTTGCATTTCTCTGATGATTAGCAATGTTGAGTATTTTTTAATGTTTCTTGGCTGCTTTCATGTCTTCATTTAAGAAGTATCTTTTCATGTCCTTTGCTCATTTTTAAGTGGGGCTTTTTTTTCCTGTTAATTCATTTTAGTTCCTCATAGAGTCTAAATGATAGGCCTTTGTCAGATGCATGGGTTGCAAATATTTTTTCCCGTTCTGTGGGTTGTCTTTGTACTCTCTTGATCATCTCTTTTGCTGTGCAAGAACGTTTTGATAAAGTCCTGTCAATTTTAGTTTTCACTCCATTTGCTTTTGAGGACTTGACCATGAATTCATTACCTAGGCTGATGTCCACGATAGTGTTCACTACGTTTTTTTCTAAGATTCTTATAGTTTAAGGTTTTACACTTAAGTCCTTGATCCATTTTGAGTTAGTATTTAGGTGTGGTGATGGGGAGTGTTTCACACACGCGCGCGCGCGCGCGCGCGATCCAAATATCTCTCCTCTGCCCCTCACATCTCTCTCATAAACTAATGAACTAAATCCACAGGCAAATGATGGTTCCTTGATCATCAGAGGCCCAGGGTTTCCACCTCACTGGTAGGGAACATTTCAAACATTTACAAAAGTAGAGAGTCAGCTGTAATGAATCCACTAAGCCTCAATTCATGGCCTATCTCACTTCATCTCTGTCTTTTCTACCTTCCAATCTCCTCCATCTAGAACATTTTGGATTATTTTATTCTATTTTTTGTTTTTTAGAGACAGGGTCTCGCCCTGCTGTTCAGGTTACATGGCAGTGGTGAGATCATAGTGCACTGCCACCTCAACTTCCTGGGCTCAAGTGTGAGCCACTGTGCCTGGCACAAGCATCATGTTCTGACTTTGGAAACACACACAGCACCTGCAAAGTATTCCGGCTGTAAAAGTAGACCTGCTGGGCGCAGTGGCTCACGCCTGTAATCCCAGCACTTTGGGAGGCCAAGATGGGAGGGTTGCTTGCGCCCAGGGGTTCGAGATCAGCCTGGGCAACATAGGGAAACCTCATTGCTACAAAAAATAGAAAAATTAGCCAGTTGTAGTGGCGTGCATCTGTAGTTCCAGCTACTGGAGAGACTGAGGCAGGGGGATCACTTGATCCCAGGAGGTTGAGGCTGCAGTGAGCCATGATCACTGCACTCCAGCCTGAGTGTCAGAGTGAGACCTTGACCCTCCCGCCTGCAAAAAAAAGTGGACCTACGTCAGATCATGCCATTGAATAACTAACATACAGGAATAGACGAACATGTTAAAAGATACCCTGGGCCGGGCTCAGTGGCTCAGGCTGTCATCCCAGGACTTTGAGAGACCGAGCTTAGGGGATTACCTGAGCCAGTCCGAGAACAGCCTGGGCCAGTCCGAGAACAGCCTGGGCAACTTGACCAGATCTCATCTCTACAATAAATCAAAAAATTATCTGTGCATGGTAGCGCTCGCCTTTAGTTCTGGCTCCTTGGAAAACTGAGGTGGAAGGATCACCAGAGTCCAGCAGGTCTATGCTGGGGTGACCGTGAGTATGCCACTGCACTCCAGCCTGGGTGATGGAGTGAGACTCCAACTCAAAAAAAAAAAAAAAGATACCATGGAGAAGTAATCAACAAGTTCAAGTTGTTGGAAACTCTACAAGTGAACCTGTTTTGTCAATATATAAATCATAAGAAAAAAAAAAGGCTGGAGCATTAGAGACTGAAGTTGAAGGAATCACACAGCACAATTTCAAGCCTTACTACAAAGGTATCGGAACAAGAAAAGTGTGGCACTGACTTAAAGATAGTTGTATCGCCAGGCTCAGTGGCTCAGCCTGTAATCCCGCACCTTTGGGAGGCTGAGGTGAGTGGATTGCCTGAGCCCGCGGGTTCGAGACGCGCCTGGGCAGCAAGACCTCATCTCTACAATAAGTAAAAAAATCAGCTGGGCGTGGTAGCGCATGCCTGTAATTCTGGCTACTCGAAAGGCTGAGGCAGAAGGATCACCGGAGGTCAGCAGGCAAGGCTGTGGTGGCTGGAAGTGGCCACTGCACTCCAGTCTGGACGACCGAGTGAGACTCCAACTCAAAAAAAAAAAGAAAGAAAGAGGGGTCAGTAAACTGATGAATCCATCCCTGACATTTCTGTCACACTGAGTCCACTGATTGCATGAACCTTTCTCCCTCGGGTTATGTTTCCACTTTCTCAGTACTTTGGATGTATCTACTTAGAAATTGGGAGAAGACTTACAGTGGTGTTGGTTTATGAGGTAAGAACAGTTACCTCATAACTTCATACTTTGCTTATGAAACTTCATATGAACTCCAGAACATGAGCCTCATTCAGGTCTAGACCTTACCCTCATCTATGAGGTAAGAAATAGCAAATGAAAACTGAACTCTATATCTACAACACTTGCCCAAGACAGTATAATAAATCAAAACATTAAAACCTTCACCAGCAAATTATATATATAAAAAATTAACACCATCCTCAAAAACTTAAGAATACAGGGTCAAGGATCCTATCATATCTCCAATTAACTCACTAGTCTGGCATCTCCAGAATCCGCATGGTTAATGACAGACGACACTGGACTACTGCAAACATCATCACTGGTGACCCCACTGACACTGCTGTGAGAGATGTTTT